CAAGGCCATCAAGTCCAACCACCTGCTCAATGCAGGAATACAATCAAAACATATCTGCCAGGTGATTATCTAAGTCTTTCCTGAATGCCTCCAGTGTTGGAGCACTCATGAACTCCCGAGGTAACTGGTTCCCCTGTCATACTGCCCTAACAGGAAGTTTTTCCTGACATTCAACCGAAATCTGCCCTCTTTTAACTTGAGCCCATTGTTGCGTGTCCTGCACTCTGAGATGATTGAGATGACAGCCTTTCAATTATTTAAAAAGTGTTATCATATCACCCCTCACTCTTCTTTCTCAAGCTAAACATGTCCAATTCTTTCAGCTTTTCTTCATAAGGCTTAATTTCCAGCCCCCGGATCATGCTTGTTGCCCTCCTCTCAACTTGTTCCAATTTGTTAACATCCTTTTTGAAGTGTGATGTCCAGAACTGGACACAACACTCAAGGTGAGGCCTAACCAGTGCTGAACAGAGGGTGACTAGCAACTTGTGGGATTTGCAAACTATACTTCTATTAATGCAGCCTAAAATAGCACTTGTCTTTTTTGTAGCCACATCACACTGTTGGCTTATATTTAGCTTGTGATCTACAACAATTCCAAGATTCTTTTCACTCATAGTTTTGCTCAGTCAGGTATCCCCTATCTTGTAACTATGCAATTGGTTTCTTTTTCTGAGATGCAGTACTTTGCACTTATCCCTTCTGAATTTCATTCTGTTGTTTTCAGCCCAGTGCTCCATCCTATCAAGGTCATTTTGAATTTTGTTTCTGTCTTCTAGGGCAGGGGTCATCATCCCCCAGTCCGCAGCCCGGTGCCAGTCCGTGGGCTTCCTAGAACTGGGCTGTGGACTTGTATCTCCACCCCCACCCTGCATGTATGGGGGGCATTTTGTGCTCGTGGGTAAGCGTGTCATGCTCACAGGTGGGCGTGCCACACTTTCGTGGCTCACCATTGGCTGGCGGGCAGGCCGGAGGTGCCTGTTACTGGCCACTTTGTTCTCTTGGGTGGAATGTTCGTTCCCCCTTGTTGGTTGCAGCTCTTTGCCCCTAGCAGCATAGGCAAACAAGCAGTAGCAGGAAAAGGAAAAGGAAAGAAAGAGAGGGAGAGGGAGGGAACGAGCAACAAACCATCAAGACTGACAGATGGACGGGCACAAGCTGTCTGTGGCAGTCTGTGAATAGAAACCGAGGGGAAGGGGAGTGCTCGTGAGAAGGCTGTGCTCTCGGCATCACCCCCTCCCACGACACGTCTGAGCAGGGAGCGAAGGAGTGTCAGGCGGGAGGAAGGAGAAGCACGTGGCCAGGTTGCAAGCGGGGCCCCTTCTTCATTTCAACCGCAGAGAGGACAAGGCGACAGCAGCAGCAGCAGTGGCAGCAGCAGCGCCCGGAGGGGTGGCCTGACAAGGGGCTCAAGGTAAGGGCTCTGCATTGCCCCCTCCCTCCCTGGCACATCACCAGAGCACTTCAGAGTGCCTTGCCAGGTGACCCGCGAAGAGCGGTGGAGGGGAGAAAGAGAGAGAGACCTAAAACCAGAAGCCCCAGTTCTGCCAAACCTCTGACCCTACGAGCTCCGCCGCTTCAGAGGGAGAAGACTACACAAGCTCCGCCACTTCAGAGGGAGAAGACTACTGGGCAGGGAAAGGGCTCCCCTTCTGGATGCGTGGGCACTTTGGGGGGGGCAGATGGGACCCAACCCCTACACAGCAGAGAGGGTCGGTGGCGGAGTTGCTCCTGTGCCTTCCAGGACCAGGAAGACAACTCTGAAGAAGGGTGCTTCTGGGAGCCCCTGATGAGGAAGCCCCACACTTGCCAAGTAGATGCCGCTGCTGCTGCTGCACCCACTCCTGGTTGGGCTGAAATTAGAAGCCAGGCAGATTTTGAGAGTGGGTGGGCGTGTCGTGCTCATGCACATGTGCGCAAGCATGACACTCCCATCCGCAAGCGCAACACGCCCCTCCGCAAGCGTGCCCCACCCTCCAACTGGTCCACACACAGAGCCCACATCCCCCAAACGGTCTGGGATCCCAAAAAGGTTGGGGACCGCTGTTCTAGGGTATTAGTTATTCTGTCCAATTTTGTATCATCTGCAAATTTGACAAGCATTCCCTGCACTCCCTCATCCAAGTCATTAATAAAAAATGGGCCTTGAGGTACCCCACGTTGCTGAAGTCAAGATATACTATGTCTACAACATTCCCTCTGTCTATCAGGGAAGTTTCCTGATCAACAAAACAAGATCAAATTAGTTTGGCAGGTTTTGTTCTTGACAAATCCATGTTGGCTTCTAGTTATTACTGCCTTGTTTTCTAGGGGCTTGCACAATGACCGCTTTATGATCTGTTCCAGAATTTTGCTTGGGATTGATGTCAGGCTGACTGGCACGTAGTTCCCAGGTTCCTCTTTTTTGCTCTTTTTGAAGATAGGGACAATATTAGCGCTCCTCCAATCCTCTGACACGTCACTTGTTTACCATGGTTTCACGAAAATAATGGATAGCGGCTCTGAGAGTTCTTCAGCCAGTTCCTTCAGTACTCTCAGATGCAGTTCATCTGGCCCTGGAGATTTGAACTTGTTCAAGGTGGTAAGGTATTCCTTGACTATTTGTTTATCTGCCACTATTTGTTTGTTAACAGCCACTTTTATTTCAGCCTTCAAAATTCATCATTTTAAGTTCCGTAGTCAAGCTTAAGGGATTTCATTTGGGCAGTTTTAAAAAGAATAAAATAAATTCAAATTAGGAATATCAGATGTGTACATATTCTCTGAGAACTTGGCAAATGCTCTGTTTATTTCCTTCATGTAGCAGTGTGTTCTTCCATTTCCATCTTTTATACAAAGAACAGAGTTTCTGTTTAAGTTTTTCTTCAGCGTTATTGCTAATAGTCTAAAGGTTTTGCTGCCAAATACATAATAGCTTCTGTTTAAGTAAACTCATGCTTCTGTGTATTTTATTTGCCTCACTTGCTTCTGTCTCTCTGCATTCTATATTCTTTGCTATTAATTTTTTGTATGCATCTGCCCTATAAACTTGTTTTAACTATGTTGCATTAGTTGCTTGTCATAACTGAGTTAGGTTACTGGCTGAGTGAATATGACATCGACATCGCCCTCAGTGTTGAAGTCGTCCTCGGCTTCGGCTACGGCCTGAGCTTATAAGAAGCAAATAGAGAAGGACAGGGCTAAGCAAAAGAAAGCTAAGCAGATTCCTAGGCCCCACCACCCTCGAGAGCCTCCAGTCATTCAGATTTCCCTCCTGTCTCTCATCTTGGAGGAGTCGTCTAGAGATATACTAGACCAGGGCTCCACTTCAGAAGTGGGAGAGTCAGTGCCACTTACTCAAGCTCCAGCCTTGGTATCGATACCAAGCTTATCTCCAAGTCATGGCCCTCTGAGGCTGATGTCATATCCAGCCTGGCCTCAGCCCATTCTAGCCCTGTTTTGACCTGGCAGGCAGCTGTCATCCATCTCTCAAACTCGGAGGCATCGGTCTTGCGGTCCCCTCCACATAAGAGGGCAGCAAAGCGACACCACATTTCCCCGTCTTCTCAGGATCAGGAGGTAATTTTTGTCCCGCATCCAACTCGATGCCACTCACTTTCTGAATATGGAGAGCCTGTTTATGAGGTCGGCCAATGTGGTGAATGCTATCGATACCGTGATTTGAACAGGATTACTATGAGCGTCCCAAGCATGTTCGCTACGTTTATGCCCCATCTGAGTCCTCACCGTTGCCTCCTCCTATTCGGAGTCGGCATCGAGCCTATTATCAACCCAATCTTATGGTACTGACCTCTAAGAAACTAAACACTATCTATCTCAGCTGGATGTCCCTCAATGCGATCCAGCTTCTGCTCAACACGGGCCTGTTCCATCCAAGCACTCATGCGCTTCTTCGTTGCCCTCAGCTTTGACATCGTGCCCCACAACCGCTTTGTCTGGATCCCGATCTTCTCGTCATGTCCCAACACTGTTCCTTATCAACTGCTCGGGCCTGTCAACACTCTCCTTCGCCAACTCTCTCCATCTCTGGAAATTCCTCTGTTTCGACAGCTTCTGAACATGATCCTCCCTCTGAAGCTTCCAGGGAGTCTCTGTCGAATTTACCGACACCAAATTCAGATGTTGCAGATGTTCATCCTCCGTCCCCCTCTGAAGACTTTACCTCTTATTCCCAACTCATTCTTCGGATGACCAAGTCGTTGGAGCCTGATATTGAGCAGCCTCCTCCCCCTAAGCATGACCTCGTTTTCAATGATATAAATCAGGATAAATCCCCTCCGTTGAGTCTGGCTTTTGTACCAGCAATGCTGGACCTTATTAAAGAATCATGGGCCAAGCTGTCCACCTCCCTCTAAGTTTCCAGGTGGATTGAGAATCACTATCAAACACATGGTACCGACACAGCTTTCCTTGTCCTGCTCCAAATTTTAATTTTTTCCAGCCTTATCAATCTCGCGCTGGTAACCAGTCAACAGTCACCACCACTAACCAAGAGGGCAGAAAGTTGGACATTCTCAGCCATCGTCTATATTCTTTGGCCTCATTTGTGATGAGAGTTTCCAACAATCAAGCGGCAATGGGCGCTTTTCACAGGCAGTTGTGGAACAAAATATTTCCTGTCCTTCTGTCTGCTCCCGAGGAGATCAGGACTGATGTGCTCAATACTCATCTAGAAGCCACTACTCTTCCTAAGCAGCAGCGTCTTGCATCTCACCATATGGCTGATGCTGCCTCGAAGGATTTGGCTTCTGCCATTTCCCTCCGAAGACATGCTTGGCTGCGCTCAGCAGGAATAAATGATGATGCTAGATCCCGAATTTTGGATCTTCCATTTGATGAAGTCGGGCTTTTTAACAAGAAGACTGATCAAGTGATGGACAATGTAATTTGCAAAACTGCTTGTTCCTACTCCACCCAGCAGCCTAGATACCAACACACTCAGTGACGCAGACCCTTCACTTTTCAACAATCGTTTCAGCAGCCTTATTGTTCTTACAAACCTTTCAGGTTTCAGAGGTCCAATCTTCCACAGCTGCTCCTTCTTTCTACTCTCAGGCACCAGCTCAGCATTGTAGTCAACCTTTCCGTTGACCTGCAAGAAAGAATAAACAATATATTTGACTTGATCCCTCCAAATCTATTCCCTGGCTGTCCCATCATTCCCATCTGGATCCCTTTCTCGACAAGTGGTCCATTATCACCAAGGTCTCTTGGGTACTCTCTATCATACAACATGGCTACCTGTTACAATTCACCGACCTCTCTCCACTTGGCTGAAATTCATGCTCTGTGGTCCAACTCGGAAAAGCTACTGCATGTCAACCACCTAGAAATGCTAGCAGTCATCAAGGTTTTCCGAGCTTTCCACCTCCTCATAGCTGGCCACGGAGTCCAGGTTACCACGGACAATATGACCACTCTGTATTATATAAATAAACAGGGGGGTACTCACTCCTATACTGCAGCGAGTCCTGGACCCTTTGTGCATGGCAGGAGAGGAAGCTGAACACCTTCCATATGCGTTGTCTCCGACGCATTTTTGGTATCCCCTGGCAGGACAAAGTTCCAAATAGAGTAGTCCTAGAATGAGCTGGAATTTTCAGCATGTAGACAATATTGAAACAGCGCCGTCTACGTTGGCTTGGGCACGTCGTGAGAATGGCTGATGGTCGGATTCCAAAAGATCTCCTGTACGGAGAATTAGTGCAGGGAAGCCGCCCCCGAGGGAGACCACAGCTGCGTTACAAGGACATCTGCAAGTGGGATCTGAAGGCCTTAGGAATGGACCTCAACAGATGGGAAACCTTGACATCTGAGCGTTCAGTCTGGAGGCAGGCGGTGCATCATGGCCTCTCCCAATTTGAAGAGACACTTGTACAGCAGACTGAGGCAAAGAGGCAGTCCCGAAACAAGCAAAACCAGGGAGCTGGACAGGGGACAGATTGGATTTGTCTCCAGTGTGGAAGGGATTGTCACTCTCAAATTGGCCTTCTCAGCCACACAAGACACTGTTCCAAGACCTCAATACAGAGCACGATACCATAGTCTCTCGAGACTGAAGGATGCCTACACTTGATAAGTGGAATGTTTTCTTTAGATTTGTTGCATCATGAGGTTTATCAGCGGTTCCTGTTTCACTGGATACCCTCCTCTTGTTTCTTCGTCACCTATTTGATCAAGGTTTGGCCCACTCCATGATGAGAGTTTATATTTCTGCAGTAATATCTTATTAACCTATTGGATCTGAGGCCTCTCATCTATTTTTCCATCCAACTCTCAAGATGTTTCTTAGAGGCTTGCAGAACATTTGCCCAGCTGTGCGACCTCCACTCCCTCAGTGGTCCCTCCAAGTTGTTCTCCATGCTCTCACTTGCCCTCCCTTTGAGCCCATGACTTCAACACATCTCAAACTTATCTCTCTCAAAACTCTTTTTCTTGTAGCTATAACACCTGCATGTTGAGCAAGTGAGCTGGCCGCCCTTCGGGCCGACACTCCTTATATTCAGTTTTATCCAGACAAAGTTTATTTATTTATTTATTGGATTTCTATCCCGCCCACCTAGACCAAAGGTCTACTCTGGGCAATTTACAAATTTAAAAACAATAAAACCAAAAGCATATATTATAGGTCCAAGATGGAGACGTCACCTGTCTCCCTAAAGTGATTTCAGATGTCCATGTTAATCAGCCTTTTATCCTTCTGACGTTGTTTCCATCTCCCTCTTCTGATGTTGAATGCATGGTTCACTCCCTCGATGTTTGTCGTGCTTTAGCATTTTATGTGTCCAGGACTAAAGATTTTTGCACTTTTCTCAAACTCTTTGTCTGCTTCCATGGCCCACAGAAAGGTTCTCTGGCCTCTTCACAGACAGTCTCAAGGTGGATTGCCTCTGCCATTGCTTTGGTTTATGACCTGGTGGGCAAGGCTCCACCAGATGTGCTAAAAGCACACTCTGCAAGAGCAATGGCAATTTTCACTGCCTGGCTACGTGGCATTGTCGAGCAGCCACTTGGTCAACTCCCTCGACTTTTGTGACGCATTACCGTCTGTACATCAGCGCCAAGAAAGAAGCAAGTTTCGGAAGGGCTCTGTTGACTTCATTGTTGGCATGATAGCTGTCCTTCCAGTCACCCATTTGTGTGCATTCACAGAGGCCACGAAGAAGAAAGAGAGGTTACTTACATACCTGTAACCATAGTTCTTTGAGTGGTCCTCTGTGAATCCACACATCCCATCTATCCTCCCCGCTGTCCGTCACTTAGTGTCTTGAGCTTTGTTTCGGTCAGAGCCTTGACAGAGGCTGACATTTTCGGAACTGAGGTATTTCGGGTGGGCGGAGCATGCACGCCACAGGGCAATGTCCTACTAATCACATCTTTTAAAGCTCTAGAATATTCCAAGAAGTCCTCCGCAGGGGCAGTAAAACCCATTTATGTGCATTTGCAGAGGACCACTCAAAGAACTATGGTTACAGGTAAGTAACCTCTCTATTTGCACTCTTTCAGCAGCAGATTTTTGTATCTCTAAATTTCAATGGCCTGGGTGAAAGGTCCAGTTGCCTACCCTAGTTACAGCTCTAGTTAACTCTAAAATTTCAGGAGGGAGCTGCCTACTGTTCAACTGCAAGCCACCTGTGCTTTGCTGCATCCTGTATTAGGGCTTGTGAAACAGTTTGGGTAAGAGTTTTTAAAAATACAGGTAAATGGCTTGCTCTCCTCTGTTGTATGGCACATTACTTCTAAATTAAACACAAAAAAGCAAATAAAATAAAATAAAAGAGCAAAATATGCTGCTTATATACTGTTCCATATTGCTTCAAGCAATCTCTGGGCCGTTTACAAGTTAATTATGCAGGCTACAAAATTGCAACATCTCTCCTCTTCTCTCCTTTCTTTACAGTGCCTGTTAGGAAAATTGTGCTTTTTACTGAACTCTCCTTCTGTAGACGAAGTCATTCATCCATCACACCCCACTTGGCTGTGGGTCAACAGAAACTTTTAGGAGCAATAGCCGGTAAAACCATAGCTGATATGAAATGATTAAAATCTCTGTTCATGCAGGGTTGTTTCCCAATAAAAGTAATATCCCCTCAGAGGTAGAGAGAGATAAAATCCTTCACAAAATTTCTGGTTTATGAAATGGGGATATTCCTTCTGTGTTAACAATTCAACATGCAAGGAAATGGTCTGATATTGCCTAGCAATAACGTGCCCCATTACAAGCAGGAAAAGGGATGCCAAGCTTTACATAGCAAAGGAGATTCTAAATGTCAACAATACCAATGTTAGCAGTCAACATGGTCTACAGGATCCCCTCTTTTGTTTACTCCCATTCATGGAAAACACCAAGCTCCCAGAACCTGACTTATTTTTAATCAGTTAAACACGTCACCCAAACACAAAGCAACAGTTATGGCTTTTTTACAACAAGTGTGCTTATTATTTATTGCTTGGGGCAGAAAGCCGACTAAATGCGTAGAAAAAATGTGGCTTTCACTTGAGTGTGTACACTCAAATATTTGCAAAGTATTGTATTGTTATCCCCTAATTCCACATGTTTCCATCCTATGCAACTCAGTATAACCTGTTGGCATCAGTACTTAAAAGAAAATTGCAGTCAGATTCCTTTCCCATACATTGTTTTTTATGTGCTATCAAGTTACTTTTGCCTTATGGCAAACCTCATAGGGTTGTTCTTCATACATGTTAAGGAATGGTTTATAGTTGTCACCCTCTAATGAATTTCCGTGACCAGTTAGGGATTTGGAGCCAGTTCACCAGAGTCCTAACCTAACACTACCCATTATACTACACTGTATCTTTCATATAGTATTCAGATCAAATATTCTTTTAGATGAAAGAGTGAGGCAAAGCACATCTAGATTTAGAGAAGGCTAGAGGAAAGATATGGATATTTTTCACAGAAACTTCTAGTTTTAAATAACTCTCAGTTATGTGCAATGTACATTTTTTCTTTGTCAACAATGAATGCCTACTGGGGCTTTCCTCAAAGCTTTGGGGGCAGGGGAGTAAAATGTCCTGAATAAGGGTGTTTAATTCTTTCAAATAAATTCAAATAATTTATTGTCATTGTAAGTATATACATGGTATACCCATACAACAAAATTCACACAGGCACCCAGATTTTTGTATTGCATAATCTATGTCCGTATCAATGCTGCTTCCCTCCCTTCCTGAATTATCATTTGTTGTACCTTATAAAGACTTGTGGATGTCTACTATAGGTAACAATACACAGTATGTTCAGACTTATAATGGAAGAATGCAATGGAAGGTATAGACTGCAGTAGTAGACTGAAGTCAACTATTCCTCTGGCCTCCTACTATACAAAAAATTATGTGTCATCATCACATGCTTGGCACACTGATAGTATTTCAGATTCAAAAACAGGAGCAGTATTAGCACTACCAACCAGCAGCTATCAAAGTCAAAGTCTGCTACTATGAATGAGGAGTGTTTTTTTTTTTTTTTTTGCAGAGATGGCAGGAAGAAAGTCTTTTGTTTTCTGAAACAAAGTCCTGAAACTGGAAGCCGCCACACTCCACACACAGCTGCAGTCAGTGTGACTTAGTGAATACACAGCACCTGATGAAAATTCAGGTGTTCATACTTGAACAGAGGATTTCTTCTAGGCATTCAGACCACTTAGTGCCACCAAGCAATAAATATCTAGAGGACAATTTTGAATAGTAGCCATGATAATTGTTTTGTGTTTGGATGAGATGTGATTGAAAAAGGAAGAAATCAGCTTGGTATCTCTTTGTGAATGGTAATGAGCTAATCAGATCTGACCATCTCGGTGCTGACATTGGTGTTGTCACCATTCAAGCTGGCTTTGGCAATTCATCCCTTTTTCTGCTGGCAATGCGGGCACAATATTGCAAGATGTCAGACCATTTCCTGGCATTTTGAACTGTGGACACATTTATAAACCAGACATTTCAGGAAGGATTGAGTCTCCTGGCTTATTAATACCAAGTTTAACAACACAATGCATTCAAATTTAGAATGCAAGAGATCATTGGAATATCTAGGCTACAGTACCAAATATACCTGGAAATAAATCCTAT